AACCTACAACAAAGAGCCCTGACTGATTTATTACTGCGTTGATGTTTAATTTTGGATGCATTATTTAAAACGGCTAATTATGGATGCATTAATATTTATGGACTTGGGTTGGAGCTGATAGAAAAGTCTATGTTCTAGGCTGGTGAACAGTACTATTATTTCCTTTATGTCAAGAATTTTAGGGTTTGGAGGCAGCTTTAACTATGTGACCTGCAGTCGAGTCAGAGCCAGAAAGCATGACAGTACCTTGGATGATGCAATACTTTTAAATACCATTTGCAGACAGGCGTCTTTAATGGATCTCTTTGGAGTTAATAGCCTTTCAGATCCAGGTTTCATATTTTGTGGAGGAAAATCTATACGTTAGCCTGATGAATTCTGGATTAGGAACACTATGCTTTTCCATGAGGCTGATGTTTTTCCTGCGGAGATCTTTGATCACTGTGCATTATGTTCTCTTTCTCTATTTGGGTGGCTTTGCTCAGGTTGGGAGGCAGAGCCCTGTGTGTTGAATCATTTCTCAGCTGAGGATGAAATGTTTGGGTGAGAGTTTTCAGGTGGTTGTTGAGGGATGGGAGGGTTATAAGGCATCTCTTTGCTGGTGTCAGCTGGGGTAGCTCCAGGGAAGCCAGTGCAGCTCCACTGTGTGCACTTGGGGAGTGTGCAGTCAGAGCCCCATTGGTGTCCAGTCTGTTACTGCAGGACTTTGTAGTGCCCATCACAGGGATGTCCCCATTGCATAACAGCATCACTCATATCTGGGGCACTTCTCTGTGCAGGGTCTCTGGGAGCCCTGGTCTAGGGCTCGCATCCTCTCTGAGGCTCCAATCTTTGCTCCAGCAGGGTCACCTGGATAGCTTCAAGGGGTCCCAGCTTGGTGTATCCCACCCTGGCATCCTCAGGGTTCCCGTGGCAGGCACTTAAAGGCAATGGCATCCTGAAATCATGTGTGTTAGGCAAGGGATGTTGCTGGCTGAGCTGAGAGAGCATTGAGCAGGGGAGTGGGAACCTGGAGGGTGATGCTGAAAACAGGTCCCTTGCACAGGGGGATGTGGGTGCTGAGGGTCACTGTGGCTCCTGAGGACAGGCTCTGGTTCCTGCAGTGGAGGATGGGATGGACAACCCCATGGCAGGGGTTGGGGTGGGTTCCTGTGGGGGCTTCCTGTGGGGCACAGATCAAGCGCCAGCGTTTAAAGGCCACTCAGCACCTTTGATCATCTAATGAATGGGCCGGTGTCCGGTGCCTGTGCGGGCAGATGTTGAGGTTGTCTTTGTCAGTGTTAAACTCCCTCTTCAAAGCTTTTGTGGGGAAATGAGTCCCCTTTCAAGATGAAGATGTAACACCAGGCTCCCTGCCTGCCTCCGGCACAGCCTGTGCTTGCTGGTGAGGTGGGCAAGTGGGGAATCCTTCTGGAAAGCCAATGAATTCCAGGGAATACCAAGGTGTTTCTTCCCACTATTCCCATGTTTGCTTGCTGGGATTCTCCTCTGGAAACTGCTCCATAAATCCTGTTGTGGTTTAGTTCAGGTAAAGGACACCTTCCACTAGAGCAGGTTGCTCCAAGCCCCTGTGTCCAACCTGGCCTTGAACACTGCCAGGGATGGGGCAGCCACAGCTTCTCTGGGCACCCTGTGCCAGCGCCTCAGCACCCTCACAGGGAAGAGCTTCTGCCTCAGAGCTCATCTCAATCTCCCCTCTGGCAGGTTCAAGCCATTCCCCTTGGCCTGTCCCTACAGGCCCTTGTCCCAAGCCCCTCTCCAGCTTTCCTGCAGCCCCTTTATACACTGGAGCTGCTCTAAGGTCTCCCCTTCAGGAGCCTTCTCTTCTCCAGGCTGCCATCCTTGTGGTTGTCCTTGCTGCAGTGGTGGTTGTGACACCCAGGTCCCGTCAGCTCCGGGGTGCTGGAACAAGGGGCAGACATGCCAAGAAGCTCTGTCATCTGCTGGCTGGAGAGACGCGACTCTGCCATTGCCCTGACCACAGCTCAGGCTTTCCTTATAAGCCTCCATTAATTAAATGGGATTTTAATGCATGTCCCAGGGGCTGGGAGTAGTTGAGCTGGTCCGGTGGCCAAGGCAACTGTTGGCATCCATGGGATGATGCAGCCCTCATGCCACTGGGCTCCTTTCTGCAGCTTTCCTGGCTGTCCGCACCCCCATGGCTGCATCTCTGCTGCCCCAGTGCTGCTCGTTTCCAGATGCTTACAGATGTTTTCTTTCGGAGGCATGGACAGATGGCTGCAAGCAGTTGAGTGTATGTGGGTTCACACAGCTGAGCTGCAAGGCGGTAACAGATCCCTGTGTATGCCTGCGCTGGGGCAGGTGGAAAATCCCACAGGATGGCCCCAGAGACTGCTTGGGATAACCTGGTTTATGTCACGTTTGCTGTGGATGAGGAGGGCTGGTTCAGCCTGGTGATGTGTTTCAGTGGGGGGAGGCTGAAGGTGTTTAAAACCTTAAAACCCAGGGCCTGATTCTGCATCCTCCAGGCAGGATGGTGGTGGATGCTCTGGACAAGGTCTGCGAGTCCAACCCTTACCCTGTGAGTTAAAGGCTCTTGGTAAAACCCAGCAGGGATGTAGAAGCATGAGGCTCGTGTGAAAGGAAGGGCGGAAAGGGATTGAGATGGGCAGGGATAGAGGGAGGCAAGAGCTTATCTCCTGCCCATGCTTCTCCTGGGTTTGGGTCTGGGCTCTGCTCAGTAAGGATGGGGCTGTAGGTCTGTTGTAGGAGCTTGGGGGACACTGACTATCTGTTCCTGCTGCTCTTCAGGTTTTCCCCTTTTCCCTGGGGCAGATACATGGATATAAAGCCCAAAGCACTGCAGCTCAGCCCCTCACCCTTGACAGCTGCTGCTCCAGATGCCAGCTATGCTGGAGCAGTGTTTCCTAAGGCTGGATCCTCCTGGCAAGGGGAGGTCTGAGGAGCAGGCGGGGTTTCCAGGCGGGATGTGCTGTGTGTGCTGTCTGTGTGTGTACAGATGCTGTTTCCATCTTTATAATTTCCCTTCTCAAGGGACCTCCCCATCTCTGCTGTTGGTGCCATTCAGCTTGTCCCTATCCCTGGAGGGGAGCAGCGTTGGGAGCTCTGGACCCAGCTGTGTAGTGAGTTGGGGGCAAGCAGGAAGGCTGCAGGAGGTGCCAGCTTTACCCCTGGGTCACTCAGCAATGGGCACTCTGCACAGAGTGATCCCAAAAAGCGGCTTTGGGGCTGGTACCACTTTTAAGCCTGGAGAAGAGAAGGCTCCTGAAGGGGACACCTTAGAGCAGCTCCAGTGCATAAGGGGGCTGCAGGAAAGCTGGAGAGGGGCTTTGGACAAGGGCCTGTAGGGACAGGGCAAGGGGAATGGCTTTAACCTGCCAGAGGGGAGATTGAGATGAGCTCTGAGGCAGAAGCTCTTCCCTGTGAGGGTGCTGAGGTGCTGGCACAGGGTGCCCAGAGAAGCTGTGGCTGCCCCATCCCTGGCAGTGTTCAAGGCCAGGTTGGACACAGGGGCTTGGAGCAACCTGCTCTAGTGGAAGGTGTCCCTGCCTGTGGCAGGGGTTGAACTGGGTGAGCTTTAAGGTCCCTTCGAACCCATTCTATGATTCTGTAACATTAGGAAGCAAAAGGAGACGGCCGGTTGGGTGACCCCTTCCCCTTTTCCCACCCTGGGCATTGTCTCTACCTGGCCCATGCAGGGCTGGGAAGGATGCAGATGGGGCACAAGCTGTGGGTCCATGTCTGCTGCAGCCCCACCGCGGGGTTTCTGCCTGGCTGGCTCCCTGCACTCCAAACACACTTTGGGGAGGCGGGGGGGGGGGTTTGGGGAGGCGGGGGGGGGGAGCTCCAACACGTGAAGGAGAACCTCCCTCTAATCATCAGAGTGATGAAAGCCTCTTAGGCAAGAAGTGATGAGGGAAGAGTGCCTGACCGTGGGAAGGAGAGAGACGGCACAGATGGCATCGTGCTGCCGAGCAGCCTGCTCCTGAGCCGAGAACAGACAGCGGCGGCACACGGACACACCGGGAATACAGCCCCTGCCACACTGACCTCCATGGGGAGCCCAGCCTCGGCTCCTGCCCTGGGGTTTGGGCAGCCTTGCAGGGAGCTGAGTAGTCAAATGGGCATGCTGAGGCAGGCAGGACCGAGGAAGGCTGGAGATGGGGTTTCACTGTGTTACCCAGCACCTGGGCGCTGACTTGCTCATCCTTGGCCAGCTGGGGGGTGCTGACCCCAACAGGCTCTAAACGCAGCAGAGATGCTGTGGAGTGAGATGTGTGGTGGTGAGTGCTCTTATGGAGGTGTCTGATGTCTTTATGGCAGATGGAGAACCTCGGCAGAAGGGAGAGTGTGAAAACCATCTCCGAGGACGGGGCTTCAGGAATGGCTCGGTTCAATTGGAAGCAGGCGGGAGGGCTGAAGTAGGAGGGGGGGAACCATACACCTCGGGGTGTATGTGGAGGATAACCTGAGATGCTTTAGGTCCTTTGGCAAGTGGAGACCAGGAGATGAGCTGGGACTTGCAGTGGTTAAATGGCAAAGGAGACCCTCAGGTGGGGAGGGTCCCAAATAGCAAGGATTTGGCTTTCAGAATGGAGCTGCAGCTCTGGCGACCAGGATCCCCGGGGCAGGGCTGTGATGGGTGCTTCACCCAACTGCTTTGAGGTGCTTGTGAGATGATGAGGGGAACTGGGGGGTCTTTTTGCACACCCTGAAGGACCTGGTGTCTGGATTATCTCTCCTGTGCAGAGTGCCACTTGCATGGGAGGGTTGGTGGTTATGCCCTGGCACGTGGCTTGCGACTGCTTAGAGCGTGCTTCTCTCTGACATGACCTCTCTGTGGTAGCTCTGCTTCCATGAGGATTAACCCGTCCTTTCCCAGCCCTGCTGCATTCACATCCTGGATTTACCTGCCCACTGGTCGCTGCTTGAGCCCTTATCGTAGGGCAGGAGCCGTCCGTTTGCTTTGTCTGTGTCCCCCGCTCCCTCTGCGCCTCCCTCCCTCAAAGCAGGCAGAGATGGGAGGCTGTGGCTCTGCTTTTAAGTCGAATCTCTGCAGCTGAAATAAAATTGCATATATTTGCATAAGGAGCATCTCAATTAGCATATTTGTGGGTAAAGCTAAAAGGGCTGTTCATTTGGAAGCGAAAATGTGAGCGAAACATGGAAATGACTTCCAGCCCCCTTTGCAAGCAGCTTAATTAAATATTTCCTTAGTGTGTGTGCATGGATTTGGGAAGCTCTTGCTGTGTATGGAATGGTGTGTGAAACCCCAGGGCAGGCAGGGAGCAGCGGCCCTGAGAAGTGTGCATTGGCACCCCATGCTGCCTGTACCCTGTGCTGTCCCCACACCTCCAAAGGGACAAGTCTGCTGGAGGGTGAGGGCTTTGGCGTGTCACCTGAGGATGTCCCTCTCCAGGAAGGTTTTCCTTCTGCCTCCTTGCACGGTGATGCTGTGTTACCCTGGTCGGTGGTGCTGTGTTATCCCGGTCGGTCGGTGATGCTCTGTTCTTCCTGTTGTTTCCCAGGGGGTAGAGGCAGAGTGATGGCTGTGCTTTAGGAGTGGGATGAGGCTGGGCAGGGCCGCCTGCCTCCTGCCAGAGCTGTGTTCAGGGGAAAATCCTCCCTTTGTTTAAATGTAATTGCTTTGGGCCCCATCCTGCGCACGCTCAGATCAGTGGGAGCAGGTATGAGCTTCTAGGGAGAAAAATCATGCTGCTGCTTTTTTATTTTATCTTTTTTCCTTTTTAAAGCCAGGCTGATGATTTTTCTTGCCCTCCAGCTTACACCTCAACAGCTCTCCCATCTCCCTGGGAGGGCAGCATGGGACATGCATGGTACAGACCTGCCCCTTGAAGCTTCACTGCATTGATGCAGGACCTCACTGCTGCCCTGGGACAAGCGTGGCAGGGAGGGCTCATCCCTTCCATCCACACAGGGCTGAGTGTCCTGGGAGCTGTGGGGGTCTATGGGATCCCTATTGCTTGCAGGCAGGGATGCTTCATGGTGCTGGGAGGAGGTGCTTTTGGGGAGCAGAGGGACAGGCTGCTGGGGTGCCACTTCTGTGAATGGTTGCACAAGGAGGGGATTCTCTATGTCCCCTCCTATGTGGGGGAGAGGCATCGAGGTCCCTGGGTCTGGTTTCTTCGGTAAGAGGGGTGCAGAGCTCGCAGCATCCCTGGTACCCAAGCGCATCCCCCAGGAGATGGAGGGAGGAGGGGACGTGCATGATCCCACCACACAAAGAGCCTGGAGAGGAGGATGGGGAAAGAAACGGGAACGTCTGGGGCTGGAGGGAGGGGGTGAGAGTTGCACATACACACACAGAGGCATGGCTGCAGAGGGCTGAGGGAGGGAAGGGGTCACACACAACCTATTGTGAGCGGCTCAAAGGCGCTACAGCCCCGAATTGTTCATCTGGCCCAACCTTTCACCAGTTACAACTTTCCCCTCCATGAGCATGCATTAGTCTGGCCCTTTCTCCCCTGTTCCCCTGCAGTTCAGAGCCCTTGTTCTGCTGCTTGTTCTCTTGCTAAAAACACCTTTCAGCAAGCTCAGATAAAGCTCCCAAAGTCTGGAGCTCAGCCCCAGCCAGGAGCCAGGTGGACAGGGTCATTGTGACAAGCAGAGCAGGGAATAGGGCTGTGGTGCCAGAAAGACCATATCCCTTCACCTTGCTATGGGCAAAGCCCATGGGTCCAGCGTGTGCAGGCACCTCCCCTCCCTCCTGTTGGCACCTCACTCCATGGATGGGGGTATCTTTCCCATGCAGAGATACAGGATCACTGATGGGTGCTGTCCTGCTCGAGCATCCCGAGCAGTGCTGCAGGGGACCCTGCCTCACTGTTCCCCTGACGCTGCCCACTTCTCTCCCTGCAGCTGCCTGTCCTGTGTGAACGGCTCCTTCCCCTGCCACTGGTGCAAGTATCGCCACATCTGCACCCACAACGCCGCCGACTGCTCCTTCCTGGAGGGACGTGTCAAGCTCTCCGAGGTAAGGTGACATGGGTTGGCTCCCTGGTCCCTTCCACTATGGGGATGGGTTTAGAAGAGGGAAAACCACTTTGGAAACCTTTCCTGCTTTGCCTTGCCTGGGGTGCTGGGGCCGCCTGGGGAGCAGTGAGGGTGAGATGGGACAGTGTGCTGGTGGGGAGAGGCTGTGTGGCTGCAGAGAGGCTGCTTGGGAAGCCAGGCACAGCCCAGAGCACTTGAGGTTGAATGAAAGGAAAAACAAAGACAGAGACTCCAAAGGATATTCTTTTGATGCTTCTGAAGGGAGCAAGCTTGAACTGTCACTGCAGAACAACTTGTTTTCAGAGAGGGGAAGGTTGAAAGCTGTAAAACAAACAGGTTTGCTACACCTCACACCTTCTTCATCTCAAATGCACATTCCTGAGAGGGGGGTCATCCTGCACACATCCGTGCCATCCACTGGGAAGCTTGTCACCAGCAGAGTGCTTGTGGAGGTCCCAGTGTCCCCAGCCTGTTGGTGGCCTTGCTGGTCCTTGGGTTGGGTCCGGAGGTCTGTTGAGTAACCCTTGGCTCTGCAGTAAGTGCTCATTCACGTCCTGAAGGGAGAGTTTTGGGAAGGAGTTTCTCCTTCGTCCCTGTCCTGGAAGAGGGCTCTGGTTGAACTTGTGTTTCCAGTTTTGTGTACTGGGAATGAGCCCTGTCTGGATTCCCTGCTCCTTTGGGGTAGGTTGACCTTGCCTGGACATCAGGTGCCCACCGAGCCAGGAGGATTCAGTACCATGAGAGGATCAGAAGAAGCTGTTTTATCCTAGTTGTGCCCTGAAGAAACCTAGCAGGGGATCAGCCTGTCCCCAGCATCCAGCCGCTTGCTCTTGAGGTTGTGCTTCCAGCCAGCCCTGGTGTTGCTTCTCCAAACACGTGGTGTCCAGACCACTGGAGCCCAGTGGCTCTGGTCTGCCCGTTCCCCTCACTGAGGGCATGGGGAGCTGCTGGGCTCCACCAGGCAAACCCAAAAGCATCTGGCTGCACCCCCAGGGGTGTTGTCTCTGGGACACGTGCAGCTCTTCCCTCAACCGGCTGCTTGGGAACTCGTGTCGCTTCCCAGCACGGGCAGGGTGTCCCCCAGCAGACCTCCCGGCCACACTGGGACCTGGAGCGGTGCCTGGGTTGAGGTTTGGAGCTCCTGGCTCAGCCTGTTTGCACGTTGGTGTGGCTTCAGCTCTTCCTGCAGGGGATGCTGAGGCACCCTTGGAGCGGCCGCTGCTGTGGGCTGCGTGTCTGGGCTGGGATGAGACATCCCAAACCCATCCATCCTGGTCCCCATCAGGGTGGTGTGGCAGGATGGGGACTTGGTGCCACCAGACACATTAATGGTAGATGTTCTGGCCCCATCCTCTCTGCGGGAGGATGTCTGACTGGGAAGGTTATTTTAAGGAGGATTTGGTCTGTGTGTGTTGGCTGGAGCATGGTGGGCACTGGTCAGGAGAGGCAGGGACAGGGGTTAACAGCAGCACTCAGTGTCTCTGCTGGTTCCCATGGGTGGTTCACCACAATTTCCTGGTGGGAAAGTGGCTGTTTTGCAGGAAAACACAAAGAGTGACCAACAGCACTGTCTTGGGAATGCCAGGAATGTTCACCTGGACTTCTGGCAGGGCAGGGAATGGGGTGTGGGTAGGAGCCACCACTCACATAAATGTGCCTGGGAATGAAGGCAGCAGGAAGGATGTCCCTGCCTGATGGCTGCTGTGCCTTTGAAGCCTGGGCTCTGGAGATCACCCTGCTCTGTGGCTTGCTCCATGGTGAGGGGCTGGGGAAAGGGTGACAAAAAAGCACAGGCCGTTGGCTTTTCCCTGCTTGTTGTGTCCAGCAGTGGCCTGGGGTGATGAGTGATGGATGCTGGAGCCTCCCATCCCCAAAAGCTGCTCTCCTCCGACAGTCCCTGCTGTTGCACCAAGTGTGTTGGTTCAGTATAAGCTGGTTCAGTGTGTTTGTTCTTCATTGGCCAGGTTGGACACAGGGGCTTGGAGCAACCTGCTCTAGTGGAAGGTGTCCCTGCCCATGGCAGGGATTGGAACTGGGTGAGCTTTAAGGTCCCTTCCAACACAAACCAGTCTGGGGTTCCCCCACCTGTAGGAATGGTTAAGGACTTCGTGAAGGAACCTCAAAGCTGGTGTCAAGCCCAGCCCCAAACTCCTTTATCCCCATCTCCACTGATGGCACAGCCTTGCAGCTGGAGCTGGGAGCTGCCAGAGGAACCCAAACCAGGGTGTTTGCAGCGTGGCTCTAAAGCTCTTAAGCTCCCCTGGCAAACCTGGACACCCTTGTCATGTTCTCATCCAGCCAGAAAAACAGTTTCAGTGGAGAAAATCCGAGTTGTTCCATGTTTGGGAATGTGTCTGTGTATCAGGGTGTTGCTTGTCCCATCCCTCCGCAGCTCCTGGGAGCCGGGGCTGTGCTGGGGGGAGGCTGGTTTTGGCAGGATGTGGAGCTCTGTGGGCTGTCGGAGCATTCCCAAAGGATACAAGTGCCGGGCAGTGCTGGGGCGAGTTTTGTCAGCGGTTGGAGCTGCTCACAGGGGAAGTGAGTTGTCCCAGAGCCCGGGCACCCGGCGCCCACCAGCACCAGCTGCTTCCTGCCTGGGCACGGGGTGACATTGCTGCTGGATGAGTCGTTTCTGCCGGCAGATGCGGAGCATGAGAGATGTTGGGGGGGTCCTTCAAGCTGTGAGTCAGCAAAATGAGCCCCCTCTGCATCCCTGCCAGTCCCCCCGCTGTGGCTGCCCCATCCCTGGCAGTGTTCAAGGCCAGGTTGGACACAGGGGCTTGGAGCAACCTGCTCTAGTGGAAGGTGTCCCTGCCCGTGGCAGGGGTTGGGACTGGATGAGCTTTAAGGTCCTTTCCAACCGAAACCAGTCCGGGATTCTGTGAAGAACAGAAAATGTAGAGTAAAATGAGTTGGGTTTTTTGGTCAATATTTGCTAAATGAAGCAATTTCTTTCTCATTTCTCTGCATTGTTTGAAAGTTAGATTAATCTTATAGCTGTTACACAGCCCAGTGCTGCTCAGGGTCCAGCCTGGCTCACTGTGCGTGGCAGGAGGCAGCCGGGCAGTGTTGGCCGCGTGTATCTACTGGTGGCCTTGGGGTGAGAGCTGCCTCACAGCCATGGCTATTGCCACCCTTTGAAGAGCAGCAGGGTGCCTGTGTGCACCTCAGTGGTGCTGCTGCTGTTTCTGTGCTCACGGCAGCTCCCTGCAGCACGTTATTCCCCCTGGATGTTATTTCTTCCCAGAGTCACTGCCATAGGTGTGCACCCTCGGTCCTGCCTGCCAGAGCCAGTGTGGGATTGCATCAGGCTGTCGTTGCTGGTGGCACCCACTGGGGCTGTGGGGTTCTGCTGCTTCCTGAGCTCATTGATTTGTGCTCTCCTGCTCCCCTGTGCTTTGCACACAAGGTTCACTGGAGCAGCTGGGAGCCTACGGCTGTTAAAACCAAGTGCTCCTTCCCTGGGGAGCATCAGGGCTGGCGGGGTGGTGCTGAGCCCCCCTTGCCTTCCTCCCCTTTGTCTCACCAGCATCCCCTGGCTGGAGGCACTGTCCCCTGGCCAGCCTGCAGCCAGGGCAATGCTGCTTCGAGCTGACCACAGGTAGAAGCAGCAGCAGTAACATCGCTGCAGAACAGGTTCTCTGCAACGCTGCACAACCACGTTGCAGTGTCAAAGGGGGAAAAGGCTTTTCTGTCCACTTGTGAAGGCAGATGGAGGCTGTAAGGGAAACAGGAAGGCTGAGACAGCCTTACAGTGCACAGCCCAGTGGGCGTTAACTCTGAAACCTACTGACTCAATGGTGGCATTACAGCCCATCTTGTTACCAGTCATTCTGCCCACATGTGTGCAGGTCCCACAGCTGAATCCTCTCCCCACCTCCCACCTGGATCAACCCAAGCTGTGAAAAACACCCCACAGCCCTACTACCAGATTCCTCTGTGTTCTCCCTTCCTGTCTTCATGGCTTTGGTCAGAGCAGACGTGAGATGCTGGTTTGGGTTTGGCTGCACGTAAGGATTTACTCAGGGTGGTATTCTTGTAGTGCATTGCCCAGCTTGCCAACCAGGGAGGGTCTCAGGGGTGCTGGGGTCTGCGTGGTGCTCTCTCTCATCAGTGCCTCGTTCCCTTGACAGGACTGCCCCCAGATCCTGCCCTCCACCCAGATCTACATCCCCGTTGGGGTGGTGAAGCCCATCACCCTGACGGCCAAGAACCTGCCGCAGCCACAGTCCGGGCAGCGCAACTATGAGTGCATCTTCCACATCCCCGGCAGCACCACCCGTGTCACCGCCCTGCGCTTCAACAGCACCAGCATCCAGTGCCAGAACACCTCGGTGAGTGCAGGACAGGGCCTGACCCGGGCTTTGTCTGTGGGCTGCTCATCCTGCTCTGCCCCAGGACCTTCCTTTGTGGTTATATGCTGGGTTTGCTCTCCCATGGGCAGGTACTGGTGGGTTTCTGGTGCTTATGGAGTGTGAACTGGGGTCCTCCTTGCTTCCCCAGTGTGTGTAGAAGCTGCTGCTTGGGGTCATTCCGGATGGGATCAGTGCCAGAGCTGCCTTGGGGGAGCTGTCAGGCTTTAGGAGCACTTCCAAGGAAATAGGCTTTGGGAAGCTGAAGAAAGTTGCCTGGGCTGGAGCCAGCTGGCCCGGATGTGCCGGAGACTTGCCTCCCCTTCTCCCTGCCTGCTCTAGCTTCCCCTGACACCAACCCATCCCGCTTTACAGGCGGGACTGAGCTAACACCTTCTCTGTGTCACACTATGCACACGCTGCCCTGTGTGCTGCTGTTCCTGCTGGCCCCAGAGCACTTCCCTCCTCCTTGCAGCCATTCCCAGCTCTCACCCATCCCTGCATTTGTGGTGCATCACCTGTGCCCTTGCTCCCTGCAGCTCTGTCTCCTGCAGGCAGCTCTGCCCTCTCCAGTTGCCTTCTCCCTAAGCGAGAGAGTTTCGTGGCACCTTGCTGAGCTGTTTTGTGCCCTTTTCTGTACAGCAGTCCTGTGCAGGGAGCTCCAAGCCCACCAGCAAACCCACCCAGGATGTTAATAGCTCCACAGCATTACTCAGCTCCTCCAGTGCCCCGCTGGGCTCTGCACTGACCTGCCCTCACCCGCATGGAGCCCAGCCCTCCCTTCTCCTTCCCATTTAATCCTTTCAAAATTTGTTTTCCATCACTCACACTGTGAAAGCTCATTTGCAGCCTAACACCAGCGCCGAGCCCTGCTCCCCTGTCCTTTGGTGGCACGTGTGACATTTAGAGGCTGTTGAAGACAAGCCCTGGCTCCCTCCCTCCTGTGCTCCTGGGGGTGTGGAGTCTTCGGGCAGGAGGAGCATCCCAAGTCACTGCATCCTGCCCTGGGTAGCAGTGCTGGGGGGATGATGTAGTGCCAGGGCTCGCTCTTGGCAACACACAGTTGCTGATGAGCAGAAGTGCTCCTTGTCCTGAGCTGCTGCTTGGAGATGCTGGTGGTGGGTCTGTGCTTGGTCTGGAGGTGGATACAGGCAGCAGCACAAAGTGCAAGCTCCAGAGAGCAGCAGGACCAGAGCAGTGTCTGCAGAGCTCGGCTGCAACCAGCCAGTATTGAGGCAGCTTAAGCAAAGGTTTGTCTTCTTGCTGCTGTGTTTAGGGAAGAAAAGAATGTAGATGGAGAGCTGCCCGGTGGAGCTGGCTTGGTGGCTGGTCCCTGGCGTGGATCATGGTCTTCACCAGGGCTCCATCATGCAGGTTTGCTCCCAGACCCAGTTTTGTCCATTGCCTGCATGGCTCGGTGTTAGTGCTTCGAGGGGAATGCGATGGATGTGTTGCTAAGAGACATCATGGTGGTGGGGGTCCTTTCTCTGGGGTCTCGTTGCTGCTGGTGGCCAAGCTTGGCTGCTCTGTGTCTACCACAGCCATGTGAGAGGCTTCTTCGGGGTCAGCTGAGCCACTTGTGTCCTAGCAGAAGACTTGGGTACATCAGGTACCTGCTTGGTCATCTGAGGGCTGTTCTGCAACGTGTCCATGCCTGGCCCCACTGCCTGTGGGTGGAAATGGCCTGAAGGAACCATTACCCTGGTGCAGAGTGTGGAAGAAATGTGGCCTCTTTGTCCTAGAGAGAGTCCAGCCTGCAGGGACCCTGCTTGGGCGCAGCGTGGAGAGGCAGAAGCAAACCCCACCTTCTGTGTTTCCCAAGGGATGCTGTGGCTGCCAGCACTGATGTTATGAGCTGCATGGGCTCTGCAGCCCTTCTCCAAAGGCACAGCTTGAGCTGTGCCTGCCTGCCCTATGGTCCCCGCGTTGAGCTGACAGTGGTGGATGTTTGACCTGGAAATCGCTAGGGATGCCCTGAACATGGGCAAATGGGATGGAGCGTGCATGGGAGGTGTTGTGGGCACAAGAGTGGGTGGCAGCAGCTTGATGGGGGCATGGTGTCAGGCAGGAGACGTGGCTTCCAGGCGCGGGGTGGCTTCACAGACGGCAGAAGACAGTTTTGGCTTGAGAGGAGCTGTCTTGCTTTCAGGGTCTGCTTTAACGTTTGAGGGCATTTAGCCAGGCTGCGTTCTGGAGTGGGGGATTTGTGTTCACACTTGTGTGATGTTTGTCTCCACCACGTCTTTTCTTGCAGTCCATCTGGCTGGTTGGTAGCGCTTCGTGCTCCTGTGCCATCACCCACCCGTGACCCGCTGGGTTCTTCCATTGCAATTCATCCTTTGGGATAGGATTTTAGGGGAGTGGGGAAGTAGGGCAGGATGACAGCCAGCCAGCAAGTGAGGGATGGATGTCCTCTCCTCTGAAAGGCATTTAAGCACACTTTTGTTTCCAGGAGTTCAATGGGATCTAAACAAGAGGTTAATTACTCTGTGGAATTAGGGATGCTTTCCTAAATCCCGGGTGAATGGAAGGGATAATAAGTCAAGCCTGCTTAAAACTCCTCGTCTTTTGTTTAGTTTTAGTGCTTGTCAAACTCCAATGACTTGTTAGGCTTTGAAGAAAGGACATCTTGGTTAAATATTCAGCAGTCCATTTATTAAGGTTTGAGTGTCGACTATAAACATTGTTTGAGACACCCGATAGATCTCCAGCAAACTGAAAGGAGACCAGGCCTGGTGTTCCCCATCATCCTGGTGCAAAAGCCCAGCAGAAAAAAGCCTTTTCTGCCTCCTCACTTTAGTGTCTTTTTGCTCTCCAAGAGTAAAGCAACCTGAAAGGTTTTCCACGTGCATTGTAAGAAAGCAAAAAGCAAAGGCAAGCCTAAGAAAATGAAGTGCTTTGCCAATAAACTGGGGTTTTTTGTTAGTTGGTTAGTTATAATCTTCTGGAATCAGACACTTCCAGGCTTGCCTCTTGCAGCGGAGAATGGGGGGGTGGCCATGGGTCTTAAAGTGTGCAGGTAATGCCACTGAGTTTCATTTTCCAAGCATCCCTGCCTTTGCTCATTCTTTCCCATCTGCCATCCCTCAACGGGGCTCATCCTTCTTAATGCTGCACGAAATAAGCAGTTTTGCTGTTGTGAAGTACCACAGTCCACCCAGCACTGCTTGTAACCTTGGACTTCATCCCGTTTAGTCCTGGCCTTGGCAGAATGGCTGCGGGTGTTTCTCACTGCCAGGGGTTTGGCTTTTACCCTCCAGAATGTCCCTCTTAAGGCTGAAACAGCCCCAGAGCTGCTCTTTCCCTTTAAATGTAAAAATAGGAAGAACCCCAGATCTCCTTTCCATGAGCATTGGAGTTTGTTGTCTCAGCACTTTAGATTAAGCCTCACGCCTCAATTATTTCCCTTTCCTCTTACCCAAAGCCCTGCGTGGTGAGGAGCAGCTGTGTCGCCTCCCTGGCTACTTCCTTGCTCATCCCCATGGGCAGACCACCCTGCCCACATGTTGGTCTGTGGCTCCAGAGGTCACTCCCCTCCTCTGGGATGGCTCCACTTGGAATGTTCACGCAGGAGCAGCTTATCCCGTGACAAAGTGATGTGGATGCAGAGCAGGATGGGTGCGTGAGTGGTACCCAGTGCAGATGCTGAGGCTGCGGTGCCCCAGCATCTTGGATGTGGGAAGGCAAGACCTGGTGGATTCATGTTTTCTGGGTATTTCCTTATTGTGGGTGTTGCTCTGACATATTCCCAGGGTCTCAGGTTCTTATTCCACCCTGCCAAACTTTGGGCAGGAGGAATTCAGGCAAAGGAGCTTGTGTGTGATTGGGGAGGAAAGGCGGGGAGATTTATGTGAAAGGAGCAAAAGGAGATCCAGAATGAGAGGCCAAGTGTTCCTATCAAGTTGTGCTGTTGTGTGCATGGCAGTATTTTACTAGGCCTGGGGTGTATGGAAGAACATAAATCATACACACATTCCCTGCTCCGAGTGCCGCACACCTCCAATAAAGGTATCTCTAATTAACCAGCCATGGAGAGGGAAGCAGGATTGGAGCCCATTCTCCAACAGCTCCGTTCTCCAACAAAGCCATGCTCTCCGTCCTGGCGCTGCCTGCATTTATCTTTCCTGCAGCAGTGTTTAAAGTGAAAAGGGAGTATCGGGAGAGTTTGATAGGATCCAATTAAATTCCAGCAGATAAAATAATGATGAATTGCAGTTGAGCCCTGGCGAGACGCGATGTACATTACTGCTGTCCCCGTAGTACGGGGAAGGAGTTGAGGTCATCAACTACAGGAAAATAGGACACAGCTGCAGCCCAAGCGCTCCTCCAGAAATGCAGCCCAGGGGGATGGTGCAGATGGGAAGGAGGGGGGGATGCAAGGGAAATTTGGATGTGTGGGATTGCTCACAGAGGGCAGAGGAGCCGCCCCTCCGCTGGAGTGGGATGGATGCCCTGATGGGGTGTGATGGCTGTGGGGTACCCACAGCCCTTGTAGCATGCTGGGCTGGTGGCATCCCCGCATGGAGACGGGGTGAGTGTGAGAATTGGGGATGGGAGAAGCACATGAGGTTGTTGGCTGTTACTTAGGTAGATGTGAGGGTGCTGAGGCGCTGGCACAGGGTGCCCTGAGAAGCTGTGGCTGCCCCATCCCTGGCAGTGTTCAAGGGCAGGTTGGACACAGGGGCTTGGAGCAACCTGCTCTAGTGGAAGGTGTCCCTGCCCGGGGCAGGGGTTGGAACTGGGTGATCTTAAGGTAATTTGCAAGCCAAATGAATCTGTGATTCTATGATTCTAAGCTACCTACGTTTTGGATAAAGAGCCTTGAGAAAGGCTTAGCAAGGGGTCCTCTTGTCTGAACACCATCCCTGCAGAAGGAGACCTTTCTGGGAATAGCCGTATCCAGGTTGGTGGGGCTGACATATCCTCTATCAGCTCTTCCACGCTCGCCTTGTAGGTGCCTTCCAGGAAGGGCAGCAAGGCTGGCTGGGCTAGGTAAGGAGCCAGGCAGCTCACAGCTCTGCTGCTGACTCACTCGATGACATCCTTTCTCCCATCCCCTTCTGTGGACTGTGCTGCATGACAACGCTTCTCTTTCGGGCGCCGTTGGTCTGCTCCTGGGGCTGTGCCTGGCTTATTTTGCTCCCAGAGGAAACATCCATTTCCCATAACAGCATCGTGGCACATCATCCTTCAGCACAGCCAGAGGGTCCTGGGCACCTCTGTAGAGCGAAAGGTGTTCTGACAGCAGCACTGCAGGGTAGGTGCATCCGTCCCCCTCCTGACACCCGCCCTGGCATCCCCTCCTGTGGCTCATCCCGGATCACTGCCAGCCACAGTGATTGATTAACTGGGAAGTTAATAGCAGTTAAGTATTTAATGGATGTTTAGCTCCATGTTAGCTAGAGGCAGGGAGGAGGGACCTGCTGGCTGTCCGTGGGATGGACAGATTGGTAAGCACCCCCCTCCCTGATCCTCTCTTATCCCTAACGGCTGTGGGACCTTCAGGGCCAGGAAGTGACCACTGCTTTGCTGTGGTTTGGTTGCTACCTCCTCTCCTGTGGGTGGAGAGGGCACCTTCCTGGTTCCCACAGCTGCAAACAGGGCTTAGGAAATATCCTTCAAAATAAGAGATGCTTTGGAAATTAGAGAAGGATCTGATGGAACTCTGTGTCCATGGAGGCTGAGCCCTGAGCCCCGCGGCCGCAGCTCCTCCCTACATGCAGCTGAGCTGTGAGTCCAGCTCTGGCATCCTACAGGGACCAGTAACAGCATTAAAGCCGTGGACATGCTGCCTGTTTGCAGGGCAGGTGAGAGCCTGCTGACGGACACGCAGATGCTGAGGACACGTTTTTCATTAATACCCAGCTTCCCTTGGTGATCCCAGCCAGGGTGATGACTCCTGCTGCTTCCCTCTGCACAGTCCCACCTGCTCCAGCTCCGCAAATCCAGCATCCTCAGCACGCCTTCCTTCCCCAGAGGAACACCATCTCTCGTGCAGTCACACTGTTGGGCTGGCACATGGAGAGTTAATGCTCTCCCTCCCTCTCCCCCCACTATTCTTCTTCCTCCAACCCACCTCCCAGAAGAACTAATTTCCAAAAGCAGCCAGGGCAGAGAGATGCAAATAAGTGTTTTGGACAGCTGCAGGCTGGATGCCTTCCGAGATGCCAGGGCCCCAAATGAGACATGTCAGAGTACAAATTGAAAATGCCAATTTCACTTACGCTGCCACGTGGCTCCTCACAGCTAAATCCTGCTCCAGCGCCACCACCGCCCTCCCCAGCCCCAGCACACGCTCCCTCTGCTCCCTGCTCCAGGTCTGGCCAGCTCGTTGTCATGGTCCTGTTGGGGATGTCCCTGGGTGGGTGCAGGATAGGGGAAGGTGAATGGATCTGGACTCCCAATGTGGTTCTGGGTCCGTCTTCCCAAGTCTGGTGACTGGAAGGTTGCTGAGAGGCTCTGGTTGTAGGTGGTGTGTAGTGGAGATGTGGCTGAAGGTCCTCTGAGCAAACACTGCAAGAGGATGTGTGGTGGGGGGCAGTGAGGCTCTTTATATAGTGTAGAGATGGTGGTGGAGCTGTTGGGTGCTCAAGAAAGGGTTGAGTTTGCAGTTGGATGTTTTATGCCTTACAACTTCTCTATAGGGTTGATCAGCATCAGCCTTCCTCCCAGGGAGAGCTGTGTTTTGGGGTCCTTCACCCTGCATTTAGGTGGGGTGGTCCCTGGGCATAGGACCACAAGCAAAAAGCTGTGGAGGTGTAAGCAAGGACCAGGCTTGTCCTTGCATTTGCACCTCGTAGGGTCGAGGGAGGGTGTGTTGCAGTAGCCATGTCTCACATTGGGCATGTGCCCCCTTTTGGTGCCGTGTCTGGTACTGGACCATGGGAGAGACTCAGCATGGAAGAGCTCAGCTTTGATGGCAAGAAGGAACTGAGTGTCTCCTGCTTCCCACAGCCACATGGACATGCTGGCTGCCTTTGGGGCCTCATCCCTGCCTCCTGAGGGTTGAGCAGAGCAGACCTGGAGTAGTCCCTGGTGCTGGCAGGGGGCAGATGTGCTCTGTGGGGCAGTGCTGGAGGAGATGCTGAGGCCACCTCCTCCAGGTACAGCACTGGGGCTGTGGAAGGTGATGATGGGGCTGGCTGGGGCTGGAGCCCCTGCCGGTGCATCCCTGCTCCCTAACAAACTCCAGCAGCCCATGAATCATTCATTTAATCTCTCGTGACACGCCTGTCATTTTCCCGGGCGAGGAGCAGGGAATCTCTTGCCGAAGGAGGTCATTAGCTGTCAGGGATGGTTCCAACTGCTTTCCTGCCTCCGTATCGATTAAACCGCTCCTCCGGCATGCGGCGGCTGTGCGGGGAATATTGATGGGCTGCCGGGACCGGGGCTTGGCTGTCGTGGCAGGGAGGGGGGACTGGCTGGGCAGGAGGCACTGGCC